CCCACATTGGTTTTATTTTGCTTGTATTTGGTTCAACTATTCCTCTTCCTTTTGTTTGCAATTTTTTCTTTTTTTTCTTGTACTTATGAAGGAGAAGCTCAATAACCAGCTGAATATACAGGTAATTCAAATCAAGAAAACCATCCACAATTTGGAAAAACATTCAAAACTTTCACAGCATAGAGTGATTGTCAGTACCATACAATTGCGAGATGAGAATCCAATCTTTCGAACGAGTAGACAAAAAATTTCCAGATTATACTTTTGTATAGCTGTATTGTATCGCCGGATTGATTGCCTCATATCGCTGTATTCTGTCACTCTATTGTATTGTTGTTTTGTAGAATTTATCCAATCTGCCAAACAAAACTATTTGCAAAAATTTCTCGAACATTTTAAAAAGGGGGGATTTTTTTTTCTTTTTTTTTTACTTTTAAAAAAGCTCAGTGATCTTCAAAGTTGTTCGAAAGTTGTCAAGATTGGTTTTTTTTGCTCGCCAAAACATGTAGTTGAATTGTCATTTTACGTCAAAACATGGCTCCAAGAGACAACTTTTTTAGTTCTGGTTTGTTTCGAAAGTGTCTATATCAAAGAGATTACAAATGTTTGATCACAGTGACTCTTGATTTACACAGATTGGGAAAAATTTAGTTGTTTCGACAACATACTCTCGGCGGGTACCAAATTGTCTGGAACGGTGCAGTAGGCTTTGCGAAAAAAAAACCCTTAACAAGAGCGATAGCGGGTCGGCTGAAGGTGCCGTAGGCCGTTCCCCCAGTCATCACTCGTGTTGTGCCGTCTCTTCCTGGATGTTCCTCCAACACATCAAATCGGCCATATACCTCTCGGCTTGTGGTCTTTGAGTACCAACACTATGTCTCCAACCTTCAATGGGGGCTGCATTTCATTCCACTTGGGGCGTTTCATTAGTGAAGAAGATAGGCACTCCTAATTCAACCGCTTCCACAGGTGGTTCATCATCTGTTGAATGTTGGACCATTTATTGTAAGTTAATGGCATGCTGTCGTCGAATACTCCTGGTAGAAGGCTGCTGAAAGGTCGTTAAATGAGAAAATTATTTGGTGTCAGTGGCTCCTCATTTATGTTCTTTTATTTTTGATATCTTGCATTTTATTTTCACGTTCCATATTTTTCTTTTTTTTTGTAGATCTTTTTTTTTTGTTTTGCAACTCTCTATGTACTTTCACGATTTTACGGTTTTCTTCCGTGAGGAGTTCGACTTTAAAATATCAAGAACTCGCTTGAAAACTCAAGTTTTCAATCAAAACGTTCAAGTACTTGCGTAACAGCGTAATTTTGACATGTTTTTTCAACGTCGAAAGATTTTCCATTTTAAAAAAACTATTGGGGATACCAGAGGGGCTGGGGTTAGTTATGTGGCGTTTTTATGACCGCTATGGTTTTGTCAGAAAATCAGTAATGTGATTAGGTTTAGAAATTGAATGATGCAAGCAAACTGCAGTTTTCAAGAAAATAGAGCAAAAAGTAATACAGATTTTAACCCCCTGTATATTAAATGGAATAAAATCAGTTTATGTTCTTTTAAAATATGATTTTTATTAAACTCTAAACATTTGCGTGGTCCAAAAAAGTGTTTTAAAAAAATCGATTAGAAAAGCAAACGTTTTAAAAGCTAAAATCAATATTAATCGATCATTATCGATTGAATCTTAGTGCGGGTGGTCTGACTGTAAAAATTATAACGGTAAATAAAACAGAGTTGATTTATTTTATGAAAACACAAATGAACAAAAAATGAATTTTCATAAACATTTTTTTATATTTGGTTAAAATTAGAGATAAAGTGAAGAGATTTCAAAATTTTTGGAATTTCATCAGAATCAATATGGCGCAATTTTTTCTCCGAAATTCTCAACCAAATTTTTACCCCAAAAATGCGTCATTTTGGCTTTTTCAATTAATCAAAAATTACGCTAAAACTACTTTATTAAGGGATGAGAAATATATATCACAAGAAGCCTCTCACACAGCCTAACAAATTTCTAGCAGGGCTAAATCTCCAAAAGTTTGAGTATAATGCTCAAATTTTGATTTTAAGCAAAGATTTTGGGATTTAAATAGTAAAAATTACGTTTCTTGACTATCAAGCAAAATATTTTCTCTTAAACAGATTTTTGAAGATTTAACTCCCCTAGAATTTTTTTGGGCTGAGTAAGAGATTTCTTATGATCTATATATTTCTCATCAATTAACCAAGTAGTTTCAGCGTAATTCTTGATTATTTGAAAAAGCCAAATTGACCTATTTTGGGTAAAGTTTTGGTTGAGAATTTCGGAGACAAAATTGCACCATCTTAATTCTGATGTAATTCTAAGCAAGTATTTTTCTCTTCACTTTTTGTTTGATCTTAACCCAATTTGAGAAAAACGTTTTTGAAAATTCAAGTTTATTTCATTTCCTCCGGATAATTTAAATCAGCACTGTGTAATTGTTAGTTATAGAATATGATTGCCTAGTTGTTAATACTTTACAATCATATTCATATGTACATAAGACAAAAAATATAATAAAAGAAACTCCGATCGGGTCGCAAAGTGTAAGAAGAATTAAACATGTGGAAACTTGTGTGAATGTTATTAGTGTCTCTAAAAGCTAACAAAAAATTGCTTCCAAAAAAAATTGATATTAAAAACTATGTCCGATGTCAATCTCTCAGCGATTTTATCATCGCGCATTGTCAGTCATTTTATCATCGTTGTTGGGCTGACTGGAAATCTGCACGCCTGTGCAAACCTATTACAGCAGTTTTCTAGCACTGTCGAGAAAATTTTTTAACGTTTCAGCCCTTTAAAAGGACTTTTGATTGGTGTCTGCAGGGGCAGATCTAGGCAGTCAGTCAAAAATGGATATCTCAAAATAGTACAAAGGGGGGACGCTTTGGGTCGGCAGTAGGTCGAATCCCTGAAAGGGGCGTCCGCTCTCCCCTGCCCCTTCTTTCTAATCCGCTACTGGGCGTCTGGGTCTGGTTATAGATAGATGAAAATGATGATAATATTCATTTTATGTAATTCGTTTTACATAGATTATAGTTTGAATTAGAATGTTTTTTTCTCATTTTCGGTCAATCTTTTAATTTCTCGAGCCTCTTAAAATGTACCCATTTCCGATCTCTGTCTCAAATGCCCCCATTGCAATTAAAAACGACGGCCCCGCCAAAGTTCCCGATTTTTAATCAAATATTTTAATAGAATAATTCCCTTATGTAGTAAAGCTGTCAAATGGCAATTAAACCTAAATATAGAACTTCGAAGTTTTTATTTTTTTTTCGAGTGCCTTAGGTATAGTTCTGCGATCTGAGAATGCGAATTAATGGCTCAATCAAAAACTTGTTCGCAAAAACAAATTGTATTTATTTTAATATTGAGAAAGAAAGTCGATTATTTGACCAAAAACGAAACGTAATGGATTCGACCATGAATCCGACGATCATGCAAAATATTTCCATTAAGACTCGGACAACCCTTGATTGGGTGGTAAAACAAATAGAGTCTCTACAAGCTGTTTTATTCACATTTTCCGTGTTTTCCTTGTTTTCCGATATATTCTACGCAATTAAATATGACCCTCACAAATCCCTTAACAATTCCCATTGCCCACACAACCGAAACGCAGGAGTCCGGGAGTTCGTATTTTATATCTCATCGACAAATCACATACAAATTTTCATAAATATTAAATATAAACGGCAGAAGAAATTGCTGAAAAAAGTCATTGATGCATTAAAATACACGCCTAAATAGATGATGTTTTCTATTTCTGCGCTTTTTGGGCGTTTAAAGTAATTTTACAACGATGATTACAACGCTGTAATTACTGCATCTTTGTCTTGCCTTATTGATGATTATCTATAAAACGAACAACTCCATCATAATTAATCACTACGCAAAATAAGCGCATTACCTATTTTTGCATCAAATTTTCATTTCCTTCAGTCAAATTGTTTGTTTTAATTTTCATTTTGCGCGAAGCGACTTTTTCTAATTAAACTGTTCCTACCGTACCGGTATCCGTATCCATTTATCAAATTGAATAATGATTATGTAGACGTCGGATGTCCTTATATAGCAAGGAAGAGCCATTCAGTGAGGAAAAATAACGTATACTGATTTACCATCGTCAGAATTTACATCCGTCTTAGTACTAATCAAACGGCCACAAATAATACCCGGAAAAGATTAAATGAAAATTCATAATAGAAAACAGTGGTGAAAAATCAATGGCGGTCTAATCCATCGACAAACGGCGTTGAGAACAAGGGATGCTTTCAAGTCGCAGTCGCTAAAGTTTGACTTTGAGAATAAGAGCTCTTCCTGTTATGGAGGTTTAGAGTTTCTTCTAATTTAAATGCTTAATGAATTGATTCTTAGTTTTCCAAGAGATACCACAATTCCATTGGAGCTATACTGTAAAGGCTGTGCTAAGCAGCTTATTAGAATATCATCCATCATCAATTGCTTGTGTCGTCTTGTTGCTCTGTTTGATTAGTTGACAAAACAAGAATTGTCCAAAGAATTTACTGCTCCCCGAATCATCCCCAATTTTATGTAGTCCTCAGTCGCAATGTCCAAATTGCTCCTCCTTTGCTTTCCAACCACATCCCCGTTTTACCTCATTAATTTGTAACATTTTTGATCATCCGCTTAGCTCGTAATTGGCACCGCTGAATTGATACACACACGCACAGCAGAGAGTCTACATTATTGTGCTCTTTAAGGGACCTTCTTCATTCTGCAGCGAGCGCACCAATTTAATTCCATCCTCAGAAATCCCTCGCGCTGTCGCAAAGACGGAACGTTGTTACTGAATTACCCACTTAAAACAGTACTCCTACATATCCCTATCTTTTAAAAGTCTTTTGTTAGTCAAACTCATCATATTTCAGTCTGCAACATTATCCCCCGTTTAAAGAACCACTTTGCTTTATTTTTGTAGTTCAAACATCATAGGAACATGTTTAGAATCGACATGTTCGATGCGGGGATTCCCTTCAAAATCCCAGACGTGAGTCCTTCGCGCCAACGCAACTACGTCAGTCCCCCCTCCCTCTCTCCGTTCCCCTCCCCCTCGGGATCGACAGGCGTGAACGAGAGCAGCAACCAACTGTACCCAGGCACAGACAAGCGGCCATCCACCCAGCTGTCCTCAAGCAATCTTCTATCCCCCATCAACCCCCTGCCCCTCACACGCAGAGTATCAGCTGCCGGCGACTTCTACATTCCGGGAGGTAAATGATGCCTGTTATCAATGATCATATTGTTTTAACGCAAAAACAAGAACTCAGAAAAATTGAAAACCTTTGTTACTAAGTTCAGTTTCATCGCGGAAACCGACCATGCTGCGGAAATGAACCCGCATGAGAAAACTTATGTAGAAAAGAATTTGATGAAAATACTTTAATTTCCTAAAAAGAGATTAGTTTCAAAATATCGCGTCAAAATACGATTAAGGATAAAATAGGTCGCGTAAAAAGGCTTTATTTTTGTTTTGGAGGTGGAGCTTAAAACAGTTTGAAAACTTTGTGAAAAAATGTTCAAACTAAGTAAATAATTCAAATGACGACTATCAATTGGCGCTGGACTAAGCATGAATATTTTTATGGACACCAGAGCAGACGCCGATTGGGAAAGTGAACCCAGAGTTGTATCAGAACGAGCATGATGACGACTGGTCTGGAGACTCCGGGGCCGGTGGGGCCTCAGGAGGCAACAGCTGTTTCTTCTCCTCCGCCTCCTCCTCCTCCCAACACCTGGGCAGACTCTGGTTCACCGTGGAATACTCCGAGGATCAACAACTTCTGTCAGTCACAGTACTCAAGGCATTCAGCAAGTACAACAGGTGCATGCTTTTGAATGAACAAACTACTGCCCAACCTTTTCAGTTCCTTATTTTCCAAAAGGCCCCTTTTTGGCTATGGATTGCTTTTGTAGTATTGGAAAATAAAACCAAATATAATTCCCCATCCTTGGTATAAGTTAACTATAGATGAACAGTTGTGTCTAATCTTTAAACCTTTCACTTTGATCATCCTTTTTAATTTATCTGTTTATGTAAATATCATTTTGACTCTAGAACCAGATAGACTATGATCTATGATATAACCAGACCTGAGACTTATACTTTTAGTTACTAACTGAATCAAAAGGTTCTATCAACGACCATTGTTTCTTTTAGTAAACTATAGCGGCCCATTTTCACTTCTGGAGAACTCAAAAATTTTATCTTCTGTTTGTTATTAAGTCTGATTCAACTTCTATGAAAAACAGTATTTGTTTTGTTGCAATTGACTAAACAGAAAAACAAATGAGACTGGGCTTCATTAATAAAGTGTCACTGGAGTTAAATTGTTTGTTGAGTAGGCTTTTGTTTGCAGGAACCCTCCTTCTAGCTATGACACATTTGTGAGGGTGTATCTCCTACCTGATGAGATTTGCTTCCACAAAACAAAGACCCTGAAGAAGACGGCCATGCCATCATTCGATGAAACATTCTCATTCAAGGTTTGAAAACTCATGAAGATCATTTATTAGTGAAGGACAAGGACTAAGTTAAAAGCTGTTCGAAGCCGTTTCTTATGCGCTCATAAAACATACAAAGATAGTATTTTTTTTGAGAAAAATAAGGCCACAATAAGAGCTGTTCGGAGCCGTTTCTTATGCGTTTTTTTTTTATATTTTGATCTGAAAAAAGTTAAGACTATAGTCCTAAAGTATTTTTTTTCAAAATTGTATAGACATTCAATTATTAATGCATCTAATTATGTTTATCATATTGTATTTTTTCTCTGTATTGGACTACTGAAGGTCAAACTCGCGGAAAAAATCTTGCTCATTTTCTTCATTTTAATTGTTTTTAGGATTTAATTTTTAAAAGTTGATTCAAGTTGAGTAGTGGTTTTAGGTTGAGAAGGACAGTCTGAGCAAGCATCAGGTGAAGTTTGTGATGTTGGAAGTGGACAGGACCCGGAAGAGATTCATGACGTCATTCACATTATTTTCCCTCAAGGAGTTCGACGCCAAACAAGCCAAGAAGACTTGGCAGAACCTCAAGCCATCTGTCACGGTGAGAAACTCAACCGGCTATATGTTATGCACAGTGAAAGCGGAAACGAATTTGCCCTAATTTTCATTATCGCGATCATAACTTTTTTTATTGGCCTCCAATTTATAAGCCTATTGGGCCAATTTTATTCCTTTGGGGGGCGGATACTTACTTGATCTAGCTAGAAAGTAAGACTTTACATTATGCACGGAAGTCTTCAGTTTTTTGTTCGACTTCTGTGTGAGGGTGGTTTTTTCTTGAGACAATTTTGGGCTTTTCAATTTTTTACGACTTTTCAATATAGATGCCCTGAGCTCAAAATCAAAAATTTATTTCACCTGTGATAATTGCCAGCTTGACCAAGTTCGGATAAATAATTCGCACTATTTACTTTCGCGACAAGTAACGTCTATCAGAAAGTTTTAAGCTTCAGCCTGGCACGAGCAGCTTTGGTAATATGAATTTTCATTAACAGATTCTCCTCAGACAAAATTCATGTTGCAAACGTGAATTTTTCAAACAATTTTACTTTTGAATTTTTAGTTTTTGGTTGATTCCAATTTTTATTCATCCAGCCAAATGATTAAATTTTAATTTCTATTTCATGTGTAGATGGACAAGTTTGGGGCTGAGATGCAGTTGTCGATCTGCCACGAGAAGAACTTCAACAAACTCAATGTCACCATAATGGACGTCAGGGGAGTGTTCCTACCCAGCCTCAGACTCGGGTTCTACACTGAACACAAACAGTCTCGTGAGTACTGCATTCACAACTGTCTGCGAGACAATTTAATTTCACGAAATAAATTACTTTTCGGTGCAAAATATAGTTACAGGATTTTATGAATTTTTTTCTGATACAACCCGTCGATATCTACACTAGTGAGCTTGCGAGTATAGTGTATTTTTACGTAGCGAGTGGCTATTTCGTTAGACTCATAAGCTCTACGTCGCAGATTGAATCCGAGACATAGCCGAAATTTTACTAATTCGAGGCTTACTTTAATTTTTCTATAGCTGTTTTTTGTCGTGTTCTCGCTTCGCCTCTGTGTTCAAAATGTGTGAAAATTAGTTATGAGGTGAATAAAACTTTTAAATGCAAAGCGAAGCCGGTTTATAGTGGTGGAAACAGTTTAGCTATATCTGGATATTTTTGGAGTATTTTATGTAACCTAAAGCGTTACAGTAATGTTCGGGAAATTGTAATCTTCGGGAAATTGTAATGTTCGGGACTGACCTGCTTGCATGCCAGTTGCTTAGCATGCGGCTCTTTGCGCAATTAGAATTGAATTTGATTCCTGACATTTGAATCTAAAACTCAAACTAATGCGTGGCACATCAAACTGAGTATTTATTTTAGTTGCGGGAGCAGAGGTTATGTAGTAATTTATAGACAACTGCGTATTCAGACTTGTCAGTCAGCAGATAAATGCTGCATTAGCCAATCAGAATTGCGCCAAGGTGGAACCTGATCAAAGCGAAATATATATAAATATATATGTAATTAATAATTAATAATTATTTAATTCTTAAGTTTGCGCTCTCATCTCGATTCTTATTGATTAACATATTATTTGCCTGCTTACTGAAAAGCATGAATACGCGATTGTCCAAATACAGGCCGTACTCCAACCCTAGTGTACACTCCTTTGCAAAAATCTTGCAAGATTTGCGTTCCAAGTACACTGTGGTTAGCATGCGAAATTCAAATCATTCATCAGTTTGATAAGGCACGCATCAGTTTGAGTTTAACATGAAAATTTTACAAACTGAATTTGTTTAGTGGTTTTTTAACGAGATTAAGGAATGGAAATCTTGTACGAGGAAAATTCGCTGATGTATATTTTATGCGTTTAGCGAAAACATTTGATTTGGCATGTTTTTTCTATATTTTTTGACAATAACCTTTATATAAAAATTATTTAGCGGTAAAATACTGATTATTTGCACATTTTTTTTTCAAACTATAACTTATCTACTTGTTTAAAAAAACTTTAAAAACTGATGTATATATGTTTAGGAACAATAGAAGTTTTGCATGCATTTTTGCAATTTCTTATATTGTTTCTTTCGCCTTACGGGTTAAACAATCCTACAAATTTCGCTTTGAGATTCGGCTGAGTATCTGTTAGAGAACCAATAACAGCAAAAAATTATTTTAAAAAAATTGTGTTCCAAAAAATTTTTGCTTTTTTCTTGCAAATGGAATAGAAATTTTGAAAAATGACAGTAAATCTTGCAAGAAAAACCAAACTCAATGTATGTTCTTGCAAGATATCTTGGAAGATCTGCAAGCCGAGGTTCTGGGAAAGCACAACGCGTCCAAGTCGCTACGTCCGCATAATGTTCTTCGCTGTACGCTGTACATGGTTCGGTTTCAATCACAATTGCGGGTTGAGTTTTGTCTATTGCTCTCACAAGTATATGCGAATGCGCGTCAATAGGTTCATCGCGTTCATTATTCTGCTCTTAAATTTCAAGTTGTATGTTTTTAGCAGGGGCGGATCTAGGATTTTCTCGAGGGGGGGGGGGGGGCGGATTTTCGAAAAATTTTCCTAAATTTTGACGACCTTTTTTTTTTAAGGTCGACCAAATTGATTTTTCAAGCTCTCCCGAAGCACTGTTTTACCCCTATTTTGGTTAAATTTTCTGCGCCGCAGGCAAATTTTTGAAAAAACAGTCAAAAAAGCCGTTTTTGGGCACTTTTTGAAAAATTTTGACAAAAAAATTGCGTTTTTTTTTGGCGCGCGCTCCCCCTCAAAGTTAGTATATATTGGCGCCGAAGGCGCCTTTAGAAAAACTTTAGGGTCGGTCCGCCAAAAATGGATTTCCGAAAAAGTATCAAAGGGGGACCCTTTGGGTCGGCAGGGGGTCGAATCCCTGAGGGGGGGGGGGCGTCCGCCACCCCCCAGCCCCCCTCCTAAATCCGCCCCTGGTTTTTAGACAATTTGCTCTAATTTACGGATAATATTCTAGGTTCCGCACAAAATCATCCGGGAAAATCCACGTGAAATATTTTTATCCATGTTTTCTTATGCGATCAAATGTGAATTGTCGCTGTAAAGTTATGTGGTCATTCTTTTTGACTGTGGTTTTTGGTGAATTGAAATTGAATCGCGATTGGTATTTCGTTACTTGGGGAAAGATATCCGTTAGGTAATGAAAACTAAATTGATAAGTGAAAGGAAGTTTGTCCGCGTTCTCTATCAGGTCTAATGAGGGATGTTTATCTTGTTACCGCGGCGACGTTTAAGCCAACATAAGATTGAGAAAGCTGACCTCTTATCTAGTTCTTTTTCAATCACATCGCCTCAACTTGGAATTTTTCAGATTGCCGAAATTTGTTATTAAATTTACAGTTTTCAAGTTAGGAAAGACATTGATTTCTGATTTCGATTTCAGGCGTGGATCTAAGATCTTCTCAGTGTATTTTCTCCGAAGGCAAATGTCTAAGAAAACGTGCCAAAAGGTCGTTCCCTCTCAAATTTTGTGTATATTGTTTCCAAAGGAGTCTTTACAAAGATTTTAGGGTTGTGTGGCCAAAAATTTGTGTAAAAAGGGGAACCTTCACCTAAATACGCTACTGATTGGTGTTATAATTTACCAATAATAAAATTATAATAAAACTGTCCAAAAAAAACAGAAACTACATGGCTCAATGCGTACTGATACATACGTCTGATAACCAGGCTCCTTGTTAACCAAAGTTAAATGCCACGGAGCGCAGCACGCGGATTTCCTAAGCAACTGTGCTTGCTTGCTACTTAAAAAGTGTTTTGAATCCCTTCGTTATTTATGGTGCGTCTTCGAAAGTTTAGATGATGATGTAAATTTCGTCATTCTCATCAAAATGAAATGATATCAAACTGACAGTAAACCTTGAAAAATGCTTTTAAGTATTAGATGACCAGAGCGTAATTTAAGAAAGTTCTCCGACCAAGGTAAAACCTGAAAGCTCTGATCAGTGTTTTAATCAATTTCAGACTTCTTTAACTATCTCCCCTAAGGTACCTAGTAAATAATTGCCCTCTCTACAAAAAACTAATGCAACGATTAAGCATACGTAATTTTAGACCTAGTAACGAATCTCCTTCCTTTTGCAAAAGGGGGGAAACAGTTAAAGAGATTCAGAACTTCATATATGGCTTTTAATAAATCTATCGGAGAACGTCTTAATTTTTGAAAAATAGTAAATGCCAAATTGTTGGCAAAAACTAGATTTCTGTGTTTCACTGATTTCTATGAGTACAAACTGTGTCCAGAAAAAATATTAACCTAATTGCACAATTTTGACCAATTTAATTGCTCAAGGTCACCGATATTACCAACAAATTGGCATCAACTATATAATTAGTAGCAAAAAGTTGGAACAGACAGAAATCTTTTAAAATTTGATTTTTTTAGATGACCTGGAGTTTTCTGAAATAGTTCGTCTGCTCTTTCTACTTATTTCTATCTGTTCCAACGTTATGCTACTAATTATATAGTTGATGCCAATTTGTTGGTAATATCGGTGACCTTGAGCAATTAAATTGGTCAAAATTGTGCTATTAGGTTAATATTTTTAACTCTCTATAATTCTGACCTTCAAGCTGAAACTTATTAGAAATAGTTTAATTGAAGTTTGGCGTTTCCCTTTTGTCGCCGTTTTTATGCGTTCTTTTCATTTGAAAAATTGCATGTCAGATCGCTGCTGAATGAAAATTGTTTTTAAGCTAAGGGTCTAAGTTAAGTTAAGATCATTTATCCACGAGGGAAATGACCAACATACAAGCTGTACAACTCATCACGGTGAACCGCTGTTGTGCCCCTGCTTAATAACTACATGCAATTTTTTTTGGTTATTTTTCTGGGCTGGATAATGTTGCCTCACCCGCAAACAACGAGCACGGATCATGGTGGGTCCCAAACATCCGACTTTTCGATTGAGACGTAACCACTTGACCACCGCTTTAAAGGTACATTAAAAATATTGACCTCTAAAAAAGCGCAATCACTTTGGTTTGCTCTTTTGACAGTTCGTATGCAATTTTAAAAATTTCGGGTGTAATTTCACCTCAATTTAGCTGTCTCAAGGTCAAAATTAATTCAGAAATTTAAGACGTCATCCGATAAATTTGATAAAAATTATACAGAGCTGATTTAAATTAACCGGAAAAAAACGAACAAAATTTTAAAATTCAAACGCGTTTTTCTCAAATTGGGTTAAAATTAGACAAAAATAAAGAGAACAAAAATTGCTTAGAATATCGCCAAAATTAATCTGGTGCACTTTTTTCCCCGAAATTCTCAGCAAAAATTTTAACCCGAAAACGGGTCAGTTTTGCTTTTTTTAATTAATCAAAAGTTACGCTGAAACTACTTTAATAATTGATAAAAAAAATTATGTCACGAAAAGCCTTTTATACGGCCCAAAGAGTTTTAGACGATTTAAATCTCAAAAATTGGCGCAAAATGTTTAAAAACTGTTTTTAGGCAAATATTTTGGGCTTTATGTAGTAAAAATCACATTTATTGACTATCAAGCAGAAATATTTTCTCTAATACCGTTTTTTGGAGATTTAACCCTTCTAAAACTTTGTTGGGCTGTATAAACGGCTTCTTGTGACATAAATTTTTTATCAATTATCGAAATTGGTTCAGCGTAATTCTTGATTATTCAAAAAAAGCTAAAATGACCCCTTTTTGGGTTAAAATTTTGGTTGAGAATTTCGGAAAAAAATGCACCATATTTATTTTGATGAAATTCTAAGC